ATAATGAAATAATTTTACTAAAACTTCTAAATCTATTTAATTTCAAATAAATCCTCTTTTTAGTTGTTTATGTCTTTTTATCTTTTGTTTGAAAAACTATCAGGTTTTTACTCTAATTTTTTGATAATACAATATTAATATTAATACATCTTCTATATAAAACTATATAATCTAATAATGTATCATTGAAATAAGAGTCATTACTTATTCTTACTCAACACAAATTTAAATATAACTAACTTCAAATAATTATAGTTTTTTTAAAGCTTCTAGTAAAATATATTCAAAAATAAGCTTCTTATATAATAAACATAAATGTATATTTACCTAATTTCTATTTTTTTTTCATTTAGAAGTATAAATGACTAAATAATCAACTAAATACTAATTCAATGAAATTAATTAATTTAAAAATCAGTTTCTTTATTTTGTTATTTAATTACCATTTCACTGAAATTGAATAACTTCTTTAGAACAATATTTGCTATTCGTTAATTTTATTACTATGACAAACTTATTGCTTTGGAACTAGATATTTATAAAAACTAAAAATAGATTAACTGGAAGTTAATCTATTTTTAGTCTTAGTTACGATTATTAATTAAAATTAAATCCTGAATTATATTATATAAGAAGATCTAGACAAAAATAACAATACTAAATGATCTTATATTTGAATTAATTCTCCTTGAATAATACATAATTCTTTTTCTACTACATCATTAAAAAAATATTTCTTCTTATTAATTTTTTATATCTTATAAGTTATAAATGGTAAACAATGATTCTATTAAAACTAGTTATTACAATAAATTGAACAAAACAATATTAATCAGTTGAAGTACTTTACATTAAGAAACGATTAATAATAACAATAAACTCATCTTCCTTTATAAAATAACAAAGAAGTAAAAAATTATTTTGTTATATAATACAACAAAAACTAAAAATAAAAAATAAAAAAATCATTTGATTAATGTCAAAGCCACGACCCCCAAAGTCAGTGAGAATAAAACAACAGTTTGTTGCTGTAGCAAAACTTAAATTACTTGTTAAACATCCAGAATTAGTTGAGTTTCATGATTCAAATTCAAAAGAACCTGAACTTCTTCTTGAGTTAAAGTCATTAAAAAACACAGTACCAATACCACAACACTGGTGTCAAAAGAAAAGATATCTTAATGGAAGAAAAGAACGTGAGCCATATCGATTACCTGATTTTATTGAAGCTACAGGTGTTAGTCAATTAAGACAAGCATATCTTGAACGAGAAGAAGAGATGAAATTAAAACAAAAAATGAGAGAAAAAATTCGACCAAAGAATGTAGGATGTATTGATTATCAAATTTTATATGATGCTTTTTTTAAGAACCAAAAGAAAGGTTCTATGACGGTATTTGGTGATATATATTATGATGGTAAAGATGAGAATCAATATTATGGCACACCATTTAAATTATCATCAAAATTAAGAGTTTGTATATAATGTATTAATACTTAAAACAAAGGAATAATAATTAATTTTATAGAGTGCATTAGGAATGTTAGATAATGACACACCTCCATGGGCAGAAGCCATTAGAAAATATGGACCACCACCTTCGTATAGAGAAATTATACCACTTTTATATCAAAACAAAACACAGATACAATAACAGGATATTTCTTTTGAATATTGTTTGAATTTTTTTTCCTTCTCCATTAAAATTCTTTTTCCAAAAACCTTGAAAATTCAAAGAACTACAAATAAAACAGTGATTCTTCATTTCCAATGATCTTCTTATTACTACCACTTTTAGTATTTTCACAAGAATGTGTTCTCAGAGATATAAACTACTCAAAATTAACTAAACCAAAAAATGATCCATATCTTCTCTCTTATCCATTATATACTTTCCATTTTAATATTTGTGGACCTGTAGATGATGATGGTAATGTTGCAGTTGCTATTGCTGAAGACGTTACTTATTCACTTGGTAAATATTCAACTCAAGAACCATTTACTGATAATAATGGTAATGGTTTTAAATATGCTGGAGGGTCTAAAAGTAGATCTGGCAATTTATGGAGTTCATCCATTTATATAAAGTGTGATAATACAGTAGCAAAAGATATTATTCAAGTTTCAACTGCTGATTTTGATAAAGCCACTGTTAGTTTTGAAATTAGAGGACCTTCTGCTTGTATTGTTGAAGAAAGCAAAAAATCTCTTTCACCAGTTGCAATTATTTTTATTATTATTGCTGTAATTGTCTGTGTTATTCTTATTGTGTTTGGATCTTGGTGTCTTGTCAACTTTATTCTTGGAAAAAGAGGAATTGCTATTCTTCCATTATATAGCATTTTCCATAAACAACAAGATGCATTTGCCACTGAAAAAGCTAATTTAATTTAATTTCCTTTTGATTACAATTAATATTATTTTTTTTTAATTAAAACATTAAATACACTTAATATTCCTTTCTTTTTTTTTATTTAATAACAAATAATAACTTCATTTTTTATACTTTATCACAAAGAGAAATCTTCTTATATAATAAATAACTGATTTATCGTTTTGTCTTGGTTATTTGATAAGATATATAATTCAATGACTAAACATTTTTTTGAAACAAATTCCAAATCATTCAATCTCATGAAATAATTTCATAAAATAAAAAATCTTTTTTTTATTTTATAATTTTTTAATAACAAAAAATAACCCTAAAATTTTGAGTTATTGTATTTTTTAAGTTCTTGTTTATTAATTATTGATTCCATATGACTGTATTACCTGAGAAGATATTTAGTTTGTTTGATTTAAAAAACATTAATGTAAAAATGAATGTACTTTAAAGAACAAAACAAATAAACCAATAGAACGACATGAAGAAAAAGCACAAATGTATTGGGATAAATTTTATTTAAAACGAAGAGGGTTTGTTGCCTCTTCAAAAGAAAGAAATTGGATGTGTAGAGAATTTAAAGAAATTGTGTATGATCCAAGAGATGATATTGATGTATTTGAAATTGGGTGTGGTGTTGGTAATTCTATGGTACCATTATTACGTGTTAATCCATCATTAAAGTTTTATGCATGTGATATTGCACCAAAAGCTGTTGATGCTGTAAATGCAGATGAATATCTAAAAGGATATTTAACAGCATTTGTACAAGACATCACCCAACCTATTCCAACCAGTATAATGACAGATTATTCTGTTGATTACATTCTCCTTGTCTTTGTTCTTTCTACTATTTCACCATCAATGTTTAATCAAACATTAAAAAATCTTGACAGAGTTTTACGACCAGGTGGAGTTTTCTTTTTTAGAGATTATGGAGAAGGTGATATGAAACAAGACATTTTTGAAAAACGAGGAAATAAACTTTCAGAAAGATTTTATTTAAGACAAGATGGAACAAGAATTTATTTCTTTAGTGAAGAAGAAACTTCAAATTTTTGTAAAATGCTTGGATATGAGTCAATGGAACAAAAAATGGTTTGTAACACAAACATTAATCATAAAAAAAATCTAACTATGGTAAGAAAATATATTCAAGCCAAATGGAGAAAACCATTAAATTAAAGAATCAAATTTTATTACAAAATTTGTAACTAATAATTTATTGATGATAATAAACTTTCTTTTATTTAGATACACAAATACAAACTATTCCTAATAAAAGAATAATAGTAGCACCTCCAAAATATATAAAATTTTTCCGTCCTCTAATCTCTTTGAAAACTATTATTCCCCAAAGAGCAGAAAGAAGACCAGGTCCTGCACAAATTAAAGGATATGAAACAACATATGGAAGATTTGAATTTGCAATAAACCAACACACTTGGGCAATTCCCCACATTGCTCCACTAATAATTCCTGGTAATATTGTTTGTTTAAAGATAAATGGTTTATTACGAAAAATAATAATATATATAATAAAATATAATGTTGATGCTAAAAAAATCCCTACAAAATGACTAAAAACATAATCAACACCATTTGGAGAAGAAAGTCTATTGTCTTGTAAGTATTTTGATGGGTTAAAAGCTGACCCAAAAAGAATTCCTGCAATTAAAGAACAAATAACCCCAACAACCATTTGTAAATATTTTGGCATTGACTTTAATAAAAGGGATATTGGAGACTCTTTTTCTTTTATTTTCTTATTGTTATATTCTTCTTTATTTTCTGATTCAATAAAATTTTCATCTTCAATAATGATTTGGGTCGTTGAATCTTCATTGATTTCTTCATCATCAGAAACTAATGTCTCATCTAGCTCATAACTATTTTGACTTGTTGTTTTTTCCTCTATTTTATGTTCAGGTTTAGGTGATGTTTTAATTAATGCATATCCAGGAACAGAGCATCCAACTAATACTGCACCAACACAATTTAACCAGAAAATTTTGATATTTTCTTTGTCTGAATTTAATCCAAACCATCCAAATGTTCCTGTTAACCATCCCATAACCATATTAGCCACTCCCCAAATTCCAGGTCCAAGAGAAAGACCAATTAGTTGAATAATTGGTATACAAAATAAATTGCCTGTACACCAAATCAACCCTCCTAACATTGCAAAAGGCTCAAATATCACTGGTCCATCATTTAAAACACCATTGAACAACATAGTAAATATCCCAACAAGAAGAATACCAACACACATTACCCATTGAAAAAAGATGCCATCACCTGTAGGAAATTTTTTTGTAACAGTAAAATTACTACCAAAGAAGAGAACAGCAATGATCACACAAATATATCCAAGTAAAACATTTTTATCATCAGTCATAAGTGATAACAAAGAGAAATGAAATAAAAAAGTGAAAGAAATGTTTTTTTTTAATAAGACTAAAAATTGTATACTTATAAATAAACTAAAAATAAGAACATAAACCATTCAATTATTTTTCAGCCCATTTGAGTGCAAGGGATGAAATACCTGGTACAGCAAAGAACTCTTCTGAACCGGCTTTAATAAGAGCCATTAACCAATTGAAGATCCAAATAATGAACCAGATGAAACCAATAATTGCACAAATAATACTAAAGATAGTGGAAACTACACTTCCAGCTGCACCGGCAATAGCAGCAGCAATAACTAAAACAACCCACATAATACAATATATAATTCCCCAAATAATGGCATTTGCAGCATGTGCTTTACAATATATGTTAGTTTTTTCTAAAACAAAAACAATAATTCCTCCAATAAGACAGAAGAATTCAGCAAGAAAAGCCTCTACAATAACAGGTAATCCACAAGATGTAGTTCCAGTTTCGGACATAACTGAAATTTTAAAGATGAAACTTGTTTTTATACAAGATAATCTATTAATAGTACCCCATTGCATAATTTTTACAATTTTTTATTAAAACAAATTTATCTGAGATAATTTTATCTGACTTTCTCTTTTTTATGTCTGTAATTTATCCCTTTTATAGAAACTTTCCTTTCATTATAAAAACAAATAAAGAGACATTCTTTGTTGTTTAGAGACAGTGATTGATAAAAAAAGAAAGAATAAATTAATTTTGATATTCAGAAGTAAAAAATCCACCCCACTCTACTATACACTTCCCAGTTGGACGAATGCGTGGTGTTACTTCATTAATTTGTTTTATTGTTTTTGATTTAATAGCCTGAGTAAGTTGAGAAGAATTCAATTGTTCTATTGCAACAACAACACGATGATATTGTTCAAATCCATCTACATGAAGTGGGACAAATTGGTTTAATGATTCAGGAGAAATGATGGTTAACAAAGTAAATGGTTTTTCTTCCATTTGTAAAGTCCAAGTAGTGATCATATCATTTTCTTCAACAACACTTAATCCCATTTTTTCCATTAATAGAGTGAATTGTTGTAAATATGATTTACGAGTTAAAACAAATGTTTCTCCTTCAAAATGAACTGATGGATCAAGACAGTCACTGTTATAAAATAAATACAAATAATTTTTACCATTTATTTCAATTTTACCCCTTCCTGTTTTATCAGTTAAATACATTCCTTTCCAGATTATTTCATTTTTATTCTTCTCTGGTTGAGGATAAAAAGGTCCTTGAGCAATACCATGAGATGTTTTTATTTTAGCAGTGAAAGATGAAGTAATATTTGGTTGATCATAGAATAGAATCCAAGACATTTTAACTTTAAAACTAATTAAGAGTTCTTTTAATTTTTTCAAGTACCTTGTATCATCAAAGTAAGAACTTAAGACTTATTCAATTAATAACCTACGAATAAAGAATTTTTCTGATTTTTGATTAGTGTTAGTTTGTATAAATTTTGAAAAATTGATTAAATATGTTGATTTCCAAATATTAAGCGTATATGTCTTTTTTTTCTTATTCTCTAAATACTTTTGAAACTCTTCTTCTATTTTTGTTGATTCTTTTTGTCTAAATTGAACCCATTTATCTTCAAAATACCACCAATGAACTTGACTACTTTTATCTGATTCATTAGCTTCATGACATGGTAATTCTTCAAGTATATCTTCATTGGTTTTAATAGAACTAGAACTTGATGAATATGATTTGAATCCTATTGAAGGTTTGCTAAGTTTCTTTGAATTATTTAATTTTTTATCATCATTATTACTTTTAGGCTTCTTTTCTTCTTCATCCTCTTCATCCTCTTTATTCTCTTTATTCTCTTTTACTATTTCTATTTCTTCACTTTCTTTTACTTCTTCTATTTTTTGTCTTTCTATTTTTAAAGATGATTTTTTGGTAAATTTCTTTTTTTGAGATTTTCGTTTTTGGTTTTCATTTTCATTTTCTAATTTTTCAACTTCTTTTGTTGAGTTAGTATTATGAGGTTTTTTCTTTATCTCGTAATCGCTTTCACGAAATCTTATTAAAGGTTTTCCTTTACAAGCTCTCATAGGTTGTGTTCTTTTTCCACTTTCTCTAAATCTTTTTCTTTGTTCATGTCTTATTCTTTTCATTTCTTTTTTCATATCAATAATGACGGTATCCTCTTTGTCTTCAGCCACAGTTGTATCATTTTTTTGTTGATCAAGGATTGTCGTTTCGTCTTTTTTTTCAATAAGAGTTGGTTCATCAATAATACTAGAACTGTTCATTTTGGTTTGTTTTCAAACCCATCTTTTTATTTCAAAAAATTTAAAAAAACCAAACTATTTTATTATTAAAAATTATATTTCTATTATAATAATATTATAATAAAACTGATAAAAATTTTAACTAACAATTTAGTGTAATGTTTTCTCGAGGTGAAAAGAAAGAAGATAATTCTAAAAGGTTTAATGAAAAGAAAATGCAGTTTGTATGTCTAAGTTTATTTATGTTATTACATAAAATGGATTTTTATTTTTTAGTTCATTGGCTGTTATTCTAGAAACACCACAAAAAGATTTACAAGTTCATTTAAATGCAATGAGAGATGTTGTTGAAATGTTAGTTTGGGGAGACAAACATAATACTGGGATTATTGATTCATTTCTCGAAGACAATTCATTTTCAACAATTATTGAAATTGTTAAAAAAGGAAAGAAACCAGCATTACTTCAATTTTTACAATGCTTTGCAATTTTAGTTGAAAATATTAAATCCACTAATTTTCTTTGTTTGTTAATAAAGACTTAAGAATAACAATATCTCTTATTTATTCAAATATTTACTTTCATAGATTTCTTATTAAGTCAAAACACAATTGAAACAATATTGTCATTCCCTATTGATCGTAATGATGAGGATTTAATTTCTCCTTATATCTCTATGCTTAAATCTATTTCATTAAGACTTACTGATGATACTTTACAATTCTTTTATAATCATCAAAAAAATACATGTCCAATATTAAGTGAAGCAGTTTCTTTATTAAACCATAAAGACTCTATGATCGTTTCACATTCAAGAAATATTATTCTTCAATTTGCTGCATTTACAAATGATAAAGCATTTAATGATTATTATATGTCATATTCACAAAAACATTTTTATCCACATCTTGCTTCATTAATACTACCTCATATCCATTCACTTCCACAATCATTACAATTATTAATTGATGATATATATTTTATTTCTGATCTTTTAACTCTTCCTCATCCATATCCAACAATGTTAACATCTTCATTATTTGATAATTTAATTTATCCCCATATTCTTCCTTCATTTATTTCTGCTTCAGCAACTACTCCAAAAAAAATTGATTCATTACAATTTCTTATTCATTTATACGAGTCTAAATTCCCAATACCTTTCTTATCATTAATTTCACATTGTTTATTAATTCCTCTTCTTCCACAAGGTCAATATAATAAACTTTGTGATTATATAGTTAAAATGGTTCAACAACAAAATGGAATGGAATTTCATTGTCTTATTACTTTATTACTTCAAATAATTCAAACTCCACCTGTTTCATTATTAAGTCGTTCATTTCTTTCAAATCCATCACAATTATCAGCACCTGCAGCTTTATTATCAATTCTTGAAGATGAAAATTCTGATGATGATCCATTATTTGGAGAAGAAAGTACTAAATTAAATGTTATGGTAGATATTACTATGTGTTTTCCATGGTTATCAATGAAATCTGATACTAAATGTTTTGAAACAAGTTCACGTATTATGGGAGATAAACAATCATTTAATAGTGAAGGAAGTGTTTATGAATTCTTAAAAAATACAAGTAAAATGAATAGACTGAAAGTAATCAATTCATTAGTTGAGTTTTGTATTAATGATGCACAACAATGTTTACCATTATGGACATATTCAAGAACAATGAAAATTATTAAACATATTGGGTGGTGGGGAAATGGTAAATTAGATGATGGACTAAATGAACTAAAACAAAAAGTTATTGAAAGTTATAATAAAAGTGAAAATGTTATTTCTAAGTTATATCCAAGACTCAAACTTGATCAATTCGAATTATTATGGAATAATATTACTACTTCATTAGAAGATATTAGTATTGAATATGAGTTTGGTGATGATATTGATAAATGGAAAAATCAACAACGCATTTTTATTGAAAAGAATTTTAGTAAAAAACAAAAAGCATTAGAAATCTATTATGTTATTGCTTCTTGTGTCATTAAACGTAAATTATATCTCCTTTTTACTAAAGGAGAAATTACTAAAATTGATTCTATTTATTGGGAAATTAAAAATGAACAACAACCACAGGAGTCTACTAAAACTTCATCTAACCAACAAGAAAATCAAGTGGAAGATATAAAAGATGATGACAACATGAAAACAAAAGAACCTAATGAAGTCTTAAAATAAATAAACCAAAAATCAAATTAATTTTGTCTTAAGAAACAAAATACAAATTTTATGTTTATTTAAAAAAAAATAGAATTATTAAAATAAAAATTTTAAGAAAAATGATGTGGTGACAAAAAGTGATGACGTGGAAAAGAGAACTTGAAATAAAGAAACTAATTGGTTATCTTCCAACAAGTTAAATAAAATTTGAATATGACAAGTATATTTTTATATTATGCTAATATTTGTGGTTTGATTCATTTTTATTTATGTTTTTCTTTTAAAACAATAATATAAATCATAAATAGACTATGTTAGAATTGGTGTTTTAATGATTGCTGTTTTCTTTGTGTTTAAAGCCCCAATTACATTTATTATATGTTATATTATTTCAGCCTTATGTGATGCTGTTGATGGTAATTTAGCTAGAGCATTTAATCAATGTTCTAGACTTGGGGCAGTATTAGATATGATTACTGATAGAGCAGGAACAACAATATTAATTACTGCATTAGCTGTATTATATCCAACATATGCCCCAATTTGTTGTTTAATTACATTTATTGATATTTGTTCACATTGGACTCATATGTATACTTCATTAATTAAAGGAGGTGAAAGTCATAAAATTTGTTCTAACCCAATTTTACATTGGTATTATACTCGTTCTGTGTTATTTACTCTTTGTCTTTGTAATGAAGCTACTTTTGTCATGTGGTATATTAGATTTTTCGCTCAAACTAATGAGTATAAATGGATTATTGAAGGTACTCCATTCTTATGGTATCTTCTTAATACATTATTAATAATCTCAACTCCACTGTGCATCTTAAAGAACTTAATTAATATCGTTCAATGGTATGAAGCTGCTAAGGATCTTGTTGATTGGGAGGTTCAACAAAATAAATCAAATTAATATTTTAAATTTTATTTTTTTATTATTTTAGAGAATAAACGTGACAATGACATTTAACTAACTTTAAAATAACTTTTTTATTTTATATTTTTTGACTAATGAAAGATATGAAAATCAACTACATTATGTCTTTAATATTCCTAATAATCAAATTCAAGAAACTTTTAAGTTTTTATTATTAATTAAGAAATTTATTTTTTTTATGATTTTTTTA